AGCCAGGGCAGAAAAACTACCTGAAAAAAGAACCCAGAGTCCAAGTGGCAAAAAGCTGCCGAAGGCTCAGAAAGGAGCCGAAAAAATTACCAATAGGCTGTGCCCATGGAAAAGAAACCGAAAATGATTGTCAGATGATGGGGGTCAACGGTGACCTTGAAGGTCGTGGTTGGGTGTGTTCCCCACATTTCCAAGAACACCGTAAGGGTGCCGGACACTCAATGGTCAGCCCTTAGGGTTCAGGGAAACGTTTACCATGACCTAGAGGGGGTCCTTACCAAATCGCAGCCACTGTTGGATGTAAAATTCAGCATTCGGGTCGATGGAAAGTGGGCCGTTGGTCCGAAATTGCAGGTCACCTGAGTGCTCACCTGATGGGTCAGCAGGCGGCCAGAGCCACAGGCAGAGCCTGTCCTGGTCAGGGAACCAATGTTGTTAAAATGTCTAGGTTTATCCAGTAAGGAGATACAAACAGTGACTCAAGGATCCCATGTGGAGTTTTATTGGTGGACAGGAAAGGATGGGGGTGAGAGGTAACCAACCCAGGCAGAGCTGAGAGAGAGAGAGAGAGAGAGAGAGAGAGAGAGAGAGAGAGAGAGAGAGAGAGAGAGAGAGAGAGAGAGAGAGCAAGAGTAAGAGACAAAGAGAGGAGATGAGATGGAGAGGAGGAAGATGAGAGTAAAAGAGAGCCTAAGAGGGCAGGGGTCAGTCCTTTAAAGGGGTCCTTTGCACCTGCGTGGTTCTCACAGAGCTCTGGGCTGGCCAGAGGGTTGCCTGAGTGCATCCTGCCAGGTAACAGGGCAGGCCAGCGTAATGCCTGAACCTTTCACCCCTTCCCCCCCACATACACTCACACTGTTAGCAATCTCACAAGAACACCAAGCTACACCTTAAAACCCATATATCCTCCCACTTAAAGCACAGAAACTCATACACGTGTGTGTTTTGTACAATTCACATGCAAATGCTACCATGTGGGGTTAGTGTTTAACAACTGGTTATTAAGTGACAAAACTACCTTGATACCACAGCTATTATATGTACAAAAGATCTGAGGTGAAAGACTGAAGCTATCTTTGAACACAAAATCTCTAGACAGAGGAAGGAAAGTACAACCTTGTAGCCTATGACAGTGATATAAATGGGGCAGGATTTGTGGCTATAGTAAACAGTAGCATAGATTGTTGACTGATCATAGCTAGGTTATTGCTAATAGTATAATTAACTTTGCCAAGTATTTGTATTACATACGTACAATCTTTGGTCTGACTATTACCCTCAGGGACCATAGGAACTAAACAAGTCTACAATTGTTCACAATATATAATGGTAGTCCTATAAAGCATTATAGCAGAGTTGAAATTTTTCTATTGTTTTGCAACACTATAGCATTGTAACACCATGTAAGCTGTATTTACTCCTGTGTTCATGTTGATGTTGATATAACCAAACCCACTGCACTGCCAGACATCCAAAAAATATAGTACATCTATCTATGATACCAGGTACAGTATCTAGAACTCAGGAGTTGGAGGCAGGAGGATTGCAAGATTGAAGTTTTGCAAACCTAGCAAGTTCTTGTCTCCAATTTTTGAATGATTGGGGTTTTCCCTCGATATTTGAAGCCTTGGGTGCTATCTTCAGGATATAAAAGAGGAAGAGAAAGGAGGAGAAAGGGGAAGAAAAGGAAGGAGAAGGAGAGGAAGAGCTTGGGGAGGGGTTACCTTCCTGCTTCTTGAGAGTAGGTCTGCACTGGCTGTGAGCTTTCCAGTAAGCTAGGCTGGTTTGCAAGTGAGGACCAGGGAGTCACCCTTGTCCATCTAAGGGCCTCATGGTTGCAACACAAGTACTTTAACAATTGAACTGTTGCCCCAGCCCCGGGCTTGTAGTTTAAACTAAATGTGATTACAAAGAAGTAAAAAGTGAAATATGTTTTTTGTTTTGTTTTGTTTTTTGTTTTTAATGTGGGAGGTTTTACTGGGGGAAGGGAAGGGAGAGGGGGAAGAGAAGGGAGAGAGGGGAGAAAGAGAGATAGGCAAAGACCTGCCTGTCTCTTCAGAGGAGCAGTGGGAGCTAAAAAGTAAAATATGTTAACATGTAATAATACAAAACAGAAAAGAAAAAGCAATGTGACATGAAGATTTCACTTATTTCAAAACAGGGTCCAATTTGTCCAGGCTAGCCTTTGAACTTACTCTGCAGCCCATTTAGGTGTTGAATTTGTCCTCGTACTTCCAAAGAGCAGGGATTACAAGCCTGAACCACCAGACCAGGCTCCAACACTATTTTATTTTAATATTAACTCAGTAACACTTAGACTATGTACCTGGTGAGCAAGGACTTGACAATCAAGTCCTTGTGATTTTTAAGCTATGTAGATTTGCTCACTGTCTTAGAATATTCACGGCATACATGGTTAATGTCGGAGTTATGATCAGAGAGGTGCTATAACAAAATTATAGGTGAATATCAAATAATGTAAACTATGCCCAGTACAAGGGTGGAGGCACCCCTTAGGCCTGAGTGATACACACTGAGACCCAAAAGAAGCAGAGAGACTATATGTGGGCTAGAATCTGAGGTAGGAGAGGCAATGACTGGATTGTGGGAGAAGTTAAGTACTGTGAGCTCAGCCTGGATAATACTTATCTTGACTTTCTCCGATGAGTTTTCCACAACCACCTACTACTCCGTTTCTAGGGTCTGGGGGATATTTATGTATTTATTCTGAGACACCTCCAAGTCCCCAGGCTCAGTGCTTGCCTTCCTTCAAGGGCTATGTTTTTGTGTCTTTGGTGTAGCATGCTCATCTTCAGAGCCCAGTTTCTTCAAGAATCCTGGCTTGCCGAGGTACTATCCTGCTGGAGTGAATGAATCCGCATTTAATGCTTATCTTTTATCTTTCGCTCCCCTTACATGTTGTCTTACACTTGTATAATCTCCAACACCTTTCATGTGGTCTCAATTTCTAGAATTCTTGTTTATTTTAAAGATAAACTGAGCCTCTAACTTCTCTTCCACTTGTCAGGTCCTCTATTTGTTGTTAAATTTCAGCATAAATTCACAGACACCTGCTTGACCACAGTAGAGGATAGACATTTGATTGGTAAGTGGATGGGCTTTGAAGACAGGGAAACAGTTTAGCAGGGCCTCTTCTCTTCTGCACCTGGTATCCCCTGTGTGCTAATTAATCAGTCCCTTCCCAGGGGAGAGAGATGGCTGAGGAGCAGGCAAATAGGGACATCAAAAGAGTTGAACTTGATGTGGGCTGATGACAGGGCTCTGCTCAGAGTAACCATGTAATTGTTCTACATTAGTTTTCCAATTGTAAGCAAGACACAAGGACATTAAAAGTGAATATAATTGTGTTGTTGTTTCCTAGTGTTCTAGTAAGGCAATGTTTTATTTTCTTGCAAGTATCCCATCTTAATTCCCCCATGCTCCATCCCAAGTCTCCCAAGGTTGGACTGTTTCATTCTTAGCTAGTGCAGCGCTTATGGCTTTCTTTAGTAAGTGGCTTCTGAAACACAGACTATAGGCAATAACAAGTTGTGAAGAGAAATATTACAAAATCACTGCTGTAATATCACATGCCCTTTCTCATGTGTAGAAAGCACAAAAGACTCAGAAGGAACCCATTCTTTCTGCCTGTGACTTTTGTGGTGTGTTATGTTTCCTCCACGTAAAATGTTCTCCAAATAACTCTTGCCATTCACATTTGAATGCCATGAAATGGGAATCATTTCCTTCACCCATAAAAGTCACTTCCACCTTGGACATACATTCTAATTGTTGGCGTGAACTGCAAGTAAGGGCGTTCACTTTTGTTTCTAAGACTGAGTTCTTCAGAATGACTAAGGGTATGTTCACGCTTCAGGCAGTGACTCAGCGTTTCCATTTTCAGTAAATGTCATTGCTGATGAACCCTGTTCTGCCTTTCCTAAGACCAGATAATACTTTCGTATTATGTCCATGTCCTGTCCCAACCACAGTCTTTCTGCCCCTACTTCCTTGACAGTCCCTGATACTGTTTTGGTCCTAGTGATCAAACCTGGGACTTTGCGTTGTTGAATGTGATTGGTTGAATGAAAAAATGGTCCCCATAGGCTTGGGTATTGAACACCTGGTCTCCAGATAGTGGCGATGTTTGGAGAGTTTTGCGGAGGTGCAGGCTTGGTGCAGGAAGTATTTAACTAGATGTGGACTTGGAGAGTTTAAAGCCTCAAGTTACTCTCAGTTCTTCTGGACTGATAGATTACAGAAAGATAAGCTACCCTTTTTTTTTTCTACTCAGTCATTCTAGACCTTAAACTAGGTAATTTGGCAGCTTTCTTTTTTCTTTTCCCTTCTTTCCTTCCTTTCTTCCTCCCTCTCTCCCTCCCTCCCCCCCTCCTTCCCTCTCTCCCTCTCTTCCTTCCTCCTCTGTCTTCTTTTGGTTTTTGTTTTTATTGTTTTGTTTTGTTTTTGAGGAAGGGTGGTTCAAGACAGAGTTTCTTTGTGTATCCATGGAACTCACTCAGTAGACCAGGGTGGCCTCAAACTCAGAGAGTATCCTTCTTCTGCCTCATGAGTGCTGGGATTAAAGGCTTGTGCCACCACCACCAAGCTTTAAGATTTTTTTTTTTCATTTGCAGCTTTATGAGGTCAATATCATTACCTACATTTCAATAATGAAGTTGACTGTATAACTACCTTGTCCATTGTCACTCTGCTAGTACACAGAGAGTCAGTATGAAGAGCCGGGGCTATATTTCTCCAAGTCTTTTCATTTCCTTTTAAATAAATTTATAGCTCTTATCTAATTATCATTAAATAATTTATTTTTAAATCTTCACTTTCTCATCGTCTTTTCTGTTTCTGTGTCAAATATAACTCTCAAGTGTAGCATGAGGTTATTAATGATGTGCTGAGTGAGAATATTAGTAATTTGCAATGTCATAAGGTAGAATAATCCTTCTTTGTAGTCATGAAAATTAAAGCATTGTGCTTCTCCTTCCCAGGTTTTTGGAATGGGGTAAGAGAGAGCCTCTGTGAAGTTCAGCCAATCAATACACCTCCTTGGCCTGGTAATTCAGATGAATGAATGAAAGCTCACTTGTTCAAGGACACTATGCCCCCTGGCTCCATCAGAGGGCACGGGGAGTCCAGCAGCTTCTCCACGTGTTCTGTTCTCTGAGGGACTCTTCACGTCTCATCTGTCATTGTGTCAGCCCCCTTCAGGGTGTGACTGCTGGAAGAAAGCTGCTAGCATAATTTCCTATTTGGCTCTGTCTGATATGGAGCCCTTAGGGAACCTGTTTACATGCTCAACTTCCTTCCTGAGCCACCCCCACCCAACACAGGCCGGAAGGATATGGGTATCAGGTGGGAGAAGACAGGGCTGGACACAGGAAAGAGATGGTGTATTGGGTAACTAGGAAAGCTTTGCAACTTATCCCAGAAGGGACTGAGCAAGTAGTCTTAGTGGGTCTAAGGCTATTGAGGGATTTTGCAATCAAGTGCCCTAGTTTCTGGGTCAGGGAGGGAGAAGTTGAAAGCAGTGACAAAATCAGTGGCAGCCGCGTCTCAGGCAGGAGCATTTGTTCTTAATGAGTTTCTCATATGTCTGAGAATTTATTAGCCTACGTTTTCTGTATAGTTTGAGGAATTACTCCTTCCATCTTGTGTTTTTCCTTTTCCACTACCTTTGATACCTAAAGATGGTTTTTATGTTGTCTTTAGAACAAAGGGGGTATAATTGTCACTTACTTGAGGGCCCTGACGGAACCACCAGAAAAAAAATGTAACATTTATTTAAATACATTCTTACGTAGATCTCAGAATGTCCTGTTGGTAAATGGAGTTTGTTTAGCTACTTAAGTCAAATCAAGAGCTTTTGTGCAGTTGGGCAATGTGAGGAACTGAACTTAACTAACCTTCCTGAGAAAATGTCCAAAAAGGTGATTAATTTTGTGGCTCAATAATCAAACACAGGCAACTGCCAGAAGTGTTCATGAAAAATCATGAAGATCAGCATAAGCTTGAACAAGAATTGTGAAAAACAGCTGGAGCTCAGCATGGCTACCTATGCAAACTGAGTAACTGCCGACTGGAGCTTTAATTCATTTCAATTGATCTGGACATCTATCTACCTTGGTTTTGTAGCTATGCTGGCTAGCAGCAAGAGTTCAAGTATTTTGTCTTGTTTGATTTCTGGGCTAATAAACTTGTCCCTTCCTTGAGTGATCATTTCTCAATTCCCTTAGCAGAATTTAATATGTGATGTTGTACATGATGGCTCAGAATCAGATGTTCAGGTTCCTTGTTCTATAGTTTTACCACAGCAGAAATCTGAATGGTAGTAGCTGCCTCCAACATTGTATTCAGAATTGGAAGTAGCAGCTAAAGCTTATGGCTTACCTCACACAGCCAGACTCGCACAATGAAGAGGCTACCCGTGGTTTTGGGCTCAGAACATATCACTATTTTACATTTTTTTTCAAAATTTTATTTTGAATCATAATAAAGACTACTTGGTGCCTTTGGTGATTTGCATATGCTTAAGACCCATGGCTTTAACTGTAGATGTTTGACCTTGATACTTCATGAAAAAGATGTTTAATTTTCTGTCTGGTAAACATAATATCTAATATCTATTGAAAACAGATTGTGTGACTGTCCCTAGGTATTTCATCAACTCAACGAATACCACACTTGTATGAATTTTTGACCAAAATCTTTTAAAGTACGTTTTTGAAAAACTCTATATGGCCCTTAAATAAAGTGAGTGAAATACAAATAACTGCATGGGAAAATTATCTGGCATCTGATATGATAAATTAACATTCTAATATATAGTCTTATACATATACATACAATATACCTATATATTTATAATTTAGGTCACATTGAATATATTTTTCACTAAATACACATTTTTATTAGGTATTTCTGAGCTGTAGATTAGCTTGGAGGAGGAAACTATAACCACACATATTCCATTCACTTAGAAAAGTTATCATTTTAATATAGGTGACAATGGTGCAGCTGGAACAATATATGAGACCACTGGCATGGGTCCAAGATCTAATTCTAATGCACAAACTGATTTAGTGGAGCCCATTCTATATGACGAGATACCTTACTCAGCCTAGACACAGGGGCTTGTGGGGTAGAGAGGTGCCTTGGTCCTGCCTCAAGGAGATGATGGAACAGATCTAGTAGACTTCTTAGGGGAGGCCTTACCTTCTCTGGGGAGCAGATGGGAGATGGAATGGGAGAGGGAAGTGGGGGGAGTGGGAGGAGAGGAGGGAGGGAGAAATGGGATTGGAATGTAAAAAATAAATGAATAAAAAAAGAAAAGTTATCATTGGTCAGTCACATATATTCAGTTTGTCATAGCAGAAATGACAAATGGCACCAGCAAAATGACAAATTGGTAGGAAATGGATGGATGCTATTATTCTGAGATCTTTTTATGGGCACTTACTGTTATTTTTGAGGAAATAAGAATCTGGGTTAACCCTGTCTCGTGAAAACCAAAAACCAAACCAAAACAAAACAAAAACCACCATTAAGAGCACATTCATCAGTGTTCCTCCAAGAGTGAGTCTTGTATTTGATGAGAGGTATCTGAGGTACATGAAAAAGTGCCACGTGGCAGCGTGTTCAGGGTTCCTTCAAGAGCTCTTTGGGGGGATTCTTCCTGCCACACAAAGTGCTGAACAGATGCAATGGTGAGCTCCTGTAAACAGTTCCCACTAAGAACTAGTACCCTTGACACATCTTGGACAAAGACAAAAACTGCAACTGGAACAATAGGTAAGAATGCCTAAAATGTGTGTGTTATTTCTAAGGTGCTAGGAAGTTTAGAACAGAGATAGGTTTCTCACTGGGAGAAGGGGAAAAAACCCACTAATGATCTTTAGCAACGAGTATTTGCAACTATCCGTCTTAAACACATGATGAACAGAAAGAAGCTAATGGCAAACTCTTACTTTGGGGTGAGGCTAGAGGTAAATTTTCTGTCATTTGCCATGGTTCCCTATGATTCATGACTTAGTCATGATGAGAATTTCCGAAAGATGAGTAATGCAGTGAGTGGTTAGTATGAAGAATTCAATGGCAATGAAACATAAAAAATGTCTACCAAACTTACCTGAAGAGTTCACGTAACGTTCAAGGGTTTACATTCTCACAGGCAAGAACATGACATCTTGGTGATTTACTAATTTTACTGGGAAGGGATTAGTGTCAACTAGTTTCAGCAATGTTTGCTTGTCAGCAGTACAGGAATCAACTCTACATGTTGATGTAAAACTTGTTGATTTTTGTTTGTTTGTTTGCTTTGTTTTTTGAGATAGGGTGGGGGATTAGGGGGGGTGGTGTATGGTGGGGGAGGAGGGGAGGGAGAGGAAGCTGGAATTGACTTGTGAAGCAAGTTTGTTTCTAATTTAAATTTTAAAAAAAGATAAAAAACAAAGAAGAACCAAGGTTTTTTTTTTTCTTTTTTTGTTTTTGTTTTTGTTTTTTGAGACAGGTTTTCTCTGTGTAACAGTCCTGGCTGTCCTGGAACTCACTTTGTAGACCAGGCTGACCTCAAACTCATTGAGATCTACCTGCCTCTGCCTCACAAGTGCTGGTACTAAAGGCGTGGGCCACCACTGCCCAGCCTGTATCTAGGGTTCTTTGGAAAACTGTTTCACAGATTATACTAAAGCCATTCATACACACAGAAGTTACACACTTATAAATATTTTTGCAAGAACCATGTTTACACATGTGTACAAATTTTCAAGGGACTCTAAGACCATCAGTCTGGAAGCACAAATGTTCACCAGCATAGGAATGGATAAACACAATATGTCACATTCAAACAATGGAGAATCTTCAGGATGAATGTGAATAGACTGCTTCATGCAAGTGAGAATAAATTTCACAACCTTATAGTAAGTGAAAGAAACAGGTACAAAATGATACACACTAGAGGACCCCCTATGCATTCTGTTTAACTATCAGGCCATGAGAGTCAGGGAAGGTTGCATTAGGCAAGGCTAAGAAGAAGGCACAAGGAAGAACACATCCCTATTGTTGGTTACGTTCTGCTTCTTGGTTTCATGCTTGCTATAAGGGTTTGCACTCTTCTGATAATTCGTTTCATGGTCTTCTCTTCGGTATGTTAGAGAGTGACAATGTTGATATAAAAGTTAGCAGGATTAAGGAAGCAAGCTGTGGTTTTAACAGAAGATAAAACGAGCTTTTCCTGAAGGTCATGTGTCATTAACAATGTTGTGATTGGCTGGTCATGGTGGAGCACACCTGTAAACCTAATACGTGAGTACTGAGGGCAGAGGATATATAATTTCATTTGGGCACGGTGTTCTAATTAAAAGTGTGTCTTTTTATCATCATGAGAGGGGAAAATCTGGTTGCTTTATTTACAATAAAGCTTGAGGGAGAATAAACATGTCCAAGCTTCCTCTACTGGATTCACATTGTATGTTGTCATTTGTTCAGGGTTCTTAATTACCCAGAGTCTAATTTGATATAGAATTTGGTTGAATCTAATCCTGCCAACTCCCAAGGATGACATCCCACCTTATACAAATCTATATTTCCTTTGCACAGTCTCTGGAAGAACAGTTCCTCCAGGTAATACAGGAACTAAAGGCTCCACTGGGTGATAAGCCCAGGCTCCCCAGTTGCCAAGTTGAAGGTAGCTCAAGCAGGACAGTATTCAAGGCAATTTCCTACATGTATTCAAAGAGAAAGAAATTTAACATTAGTTTAGTTTTCCAAACCAAGCCTTTTTATTTGTTTCTGTATACTCACCAAAACTGAAAGACAACCCATTTTGTTTTGTTTTGTTTTGTTTTGTTTTGTTTAACCATATGGAAAGTCTAATTTTATCTCAGAATTAAAGTTATTCACAATTTGTGGATGGACCTATGATCTTGCCTCTATCATTGCTGTTGAAATGTTCATGGCCCAGGAATTCCTACTAAGCTTCCTAGTCAGAGAGCTCACTGCTGTGTGACTATGCTTAGTTACCTACTGTGAGAGGTGGGCAGTCTCATTGCTTCCAGATTCTTTTGAGCACTTCTTTCCCTCCTCTCTCTCTCTCTCTCTCTCTCTCTCTCTCTCTCTCTCTCTCTGCGTGTGTACATGTATGATAGACAGGTATATATCTATCATTTATTTCCCTCTTATATTGATTCATGAAATTTATTTTTTTATTTATTAATCTTTTTTTGAGACACGGTTTCTCTGTGTAACAGCCCTGACTGTCTGTTCTGGAGCTCACTCTGTAAACCAGGCTGGGTGCAAACTCATAGAGATCCACCTGCCTCTGCCTCCCCAGTGATGGGATTAAAGGCATGAGCTACCACTGTCCGGTTTTTCGGGGTTTAAAATTTTATTTTATTTTATTTTTAATGAAAATATAATCACTTCATTTATCCCCTTCCCATGCCTCTCCCTCATGTCCTCTTAAATCTTGGCTCTTTTTCTTTAATATTATTGTCTAGTATATATATATGTACATATTATATATGTTTAACACACACACACACACACACACACACACACAATGTAAGAGTCAGTCTTGGTGGTACATGCCTGAGATCCCAGCATTCTAGAGGTGAAGGCAAGGAAATCAGGAGTTCACAGCCAGTCTTAGCTACACATCAAGTCTGAGGTCAGCCTGAATTACAGAAGATCCTATCTAACCACTCCTTCCCTGGGGAAAAAGAAAAGAAACCACATACATAAAAAGATAAATGATAAACAAGTATAGGCAATGACTGGAAAAAAGGGATGTTGCCATACAGTTAGTAAGAAAACAAGTTAGGAGAGTCACTATAAAAACCAGCACTGAGTTTTCTCAAAAAGTCAAAACTAGATCTACCATGTAATTCAGGAATCCATGACTGACTTTATATGCAGAGGAGATGAAATCAGTGTTCCAGGGAGAGCCTTGAACTCCCATGTTTACTGAAGTATTAGTCACAGCAGCTGTGTCCATCAGACAATAGGCTAAGATGATACGACAAGCACACACACACACACACACACACACACACACTTATTTAGGCTTTCAACATCCGGCATGAATGAACTGGAGAAGTTATGCTGAGAGAGAGACACAGGAGATGGGCTTAAACTTTCAGGGATGCCCCACTACCCTTATAAGCTATTATGAATGTTACAAAATACTATGCTCTTCACTCTACTAGACAGGCAT